CCGGCGGCGGCGGGAGCGGGCCGGGCGGGGCCAGCGGGAGGGGGGCAGGCGCTGCTGGACCTGGCCCAGGAGGGAATGGCCTTGTTCGGCTTCGTGCTCTTCGTGGTGCTGTGGCTGATGCATTTCATGTCCATCATCTACACGTGAGTTGGAGGGTCGGGGCCTGGGGACCAGCGAAGCTGGCAGGCGTGTGCGCCGTGGAGGGTAGCGGGTTCCGGGGGTAGAGAAAGCTGATCCTCAAACCGTCCCCCGCCTTGGTCTCCTTGGGGCGGTGCGGCGCGGGGTCCTGGAGAGGGAATAGCGCTGGTGTCGCGACAGGGCTTCTGGGTTGCAGGCGACTGCAGAGCCCTAGGGAAGGAGCCTGCTTCTGTGTCTGGTGGAGGGTTTCCTGCTTGGTCTGATTGTGTAGGGGATTCGTGTGATCTTTTTTTACATCAGGGCCAAGATGTATGGTGTATTGTGGGGTTTCCCCCTCCCTCCGCGCGGGCCACGTCTCTTATGGTGATGGTCCTTAGCACTCTTCCGGGAGCTGCTCACCACCACCCTGAGACGTCCCTGTGGGTTTTCTCCTTCCTGGAAGAGCTGTATGCTTACATAGGTGTGGAGCACCTGCCCGCCTGGAAAAACGTCTCGGAGCCAGTCTGTGTACAGCTTTCAGTCCTATCAGAGTGGCATTTCAGTATGACTTACTTTCTCTCTCTCTCTCTCTCTCTCTCTCTCTCTCTCTCTCTCTTGTCTCTCTTTTCTCTCTTCTCTCGTCTTTCTTACTTAATTCTTTATTTATTGGCTTGTTTAGAGTTGTATTCTTCCTGCCCTCCAAATAGAAATTTTCATTTGACAGGTAGCTCCCAAGGCCTACTAGATACCACCTAGTATTGGACTAAGGACACAGAGATGACAGCAGAGCAAAACTCCTGCCCTCGAGAAGCTTACCTTCTAGAAGGATGAAACATGATAAAAAAAAAAAAATCCAAAAAAAGGTTATGTCCTATAAAGCAGAACAGGGTGAATAAAACAGAACAGGGTGAAGGAGTGGAGAGACATGATATCAGTGATCCTTCAATGAAATATCTTTAAAATGAAGTCTATGTAAATAAATGAAATAAATGTGTAGAGATGAACTCACTTGGCGGTTTATCCTGGGTCGGGGGAGTAGGAATAGGGTAGAATAGGATGTTACTTTTAGATGCATTTACCCCAATAGAAATGATATGCCTTTCTCTGTTCGGTGTGCCATTTCCTGATACCGAGTAAGATGACACTTGTACAAGATAAGCTGACACTTTTTTGTTTTGTTTTGTTTTTTTTGAAAGTGAAAGAAAACATACCTCGGGCAGTATGACATTGCTGACTTTTATAATTTTTAAGCTGTATTTATTGTAACCACACAGGCTCTTAAAAAATAGTTACTATATAAGAAATTTAGACAGTACAGAAAGGAATAAAGAAGACAGTTATAACATATACAAAAATATTACCCTGTTAACTTTTTGTGCCTACATTCCCCATTATATATTTTTTTTATATGAAGAAGGCAGGCAAAGGGGGAGAGAGGAAACCAAGTCATGACTGTCGGTGTGGATTGTAGGCTGCTACTCCTTTGCTCTAGGTCTAAAATCCATATATGAGTGAGTATATACCATGGCTGTTTTAAAATCTCACCTACTTAGTGAGTGGTTTTTGAGAAGCAGTGCAAGGCACTGTTCTAGGTGCTAGAAGTAGGCACAAAGAACCAAATACTCCAGGCTACTGCTCATAGGGAACTTTGCCTTCAAAGTGACCTGATCCTTGTCTTTTCCATATCAACAAATGTGTGAGCTCTCTTCAATGTTTGAGTTAGATGCATAGCATTTTAGCTTATGAGCTATTAATATTTATTTGTTGTTACCGATAAGAAATTCAGTTGATTCCAGTTTATTAAGCAGCATTGTAATGATTTTATTTGTATTTCTTAACTTTTTCCTGTGCTGGGAGCCAAACGAAGGGCCTTCTGCATGTTGGGCAAGAGCTTTATCCTTGAGATACATTACCAGTCCCTGTAATGAATTCTTACACATGTATCTCCTTAGTTCACATTTCAGAGAAAGTATTGGACATAAGATGGTACATCTTTTAATCTTTGATACAATGTTACCTTATAAAAAATGTTACAGCTACTCAGCTACTCATAGTCCTGGCCATATTGGATGAGGGTTATTTCCTTCTTTTGTATCCCTTATTCTTCACAGTTTCTTTTGTTTTGATTTTCATCTGTTTAGTTATTGGTTCCACTGAATAGTTTTCAGATATTTATATGCTAGTTTCATTGAGTCATAAATTATGTGGGCATGATCTTTTGCCTGTACTGCAGTCTATTGCCAGGTTCATCTGTTTAATGTGAAGGTAACTTCTGTGTTAATCTGTCGCATGGTGTAATTTTCCCAGTCTATTTTATTGTCTCTCAATTTGAGACTGGGGTATTAAGTGGACAGGTCTTCTGTTTTATGTTTCCTTTTATCATCTGCATTTCCAATTATATGTTAATTACATGTTTGTTTCCTTCTAATGTTGTGAATTTTCTTTTAATTTTTCATTTATTACACTGTGATTCTCTCAGCATTTTTTGTTATACAATGAGAATTTAGAACCCTAATGTTAGTTTTACTTACATAGTTACCAACCTGTTCCCAGGTCATTTATCAAGTGGTTCAATTGTTCTTTGTTTAGAAAAATAACAGCCTATTTCATAGACTAAATTCTTTGTACTTAGGTATATTTCAGGGCTTCTAGTGCCGTTTCATGGTCCCACTGTTTTCTGTACAAGATCTATTCTGTTTTTATTAATGAAGTTTTATTAGCTGGTGAGACAGCCCTTTCATTTCTTGGAAACTTTCTTGACTTTTATAAATACATTTATTATTTAGAGGTGAATTTTAGAATCTTTGTTTCAGAGTCTTTAGGTTGTTAGTTGTAATATGAAATTTATAGCTCAACTTGGAGCACACACTTCTTCCAAACATTCTGGAAAAACAGCCCCCTCCAGTGTATGCGCAGGAAGCATCACACTCAATGAATATTAACATTATTGATGTATCCAGTATTTCAAATAATCAACCAGAGTGTGTTTACTCCTAGACTTCAGAATTTTTTTTTTATTTCATTATTTATTTGTTTATTTTTGTGACTAATGCTTTATAAACAGATTTTCTTAAAATAATCTTGCTTGCTTGTTTGTTTGTCTTTGAGTTAGGGTCTCACTAGGTAGCTCAGGCTGTCCTGGTATTCATCATTATGTAGACCAGGCTGACCTTGAACCCAGAGATTCACCTGACTCTGCGGGAGTGATGGGATTAAAGGCTTATATCACCTACTCCCAGCTATAATTTTACAGTTTTGGGCATAGTATAAAAATTTAGCTTCCTTGAAGTGCTGTAAAAAGGCTTTGTAATTATTTAATACTCCAGGACACTACCTTTAAATTTTTTAAAAAATCCTCTGTGTGTGTGTGTGTGTGTGTGTGTGTGTGTGTGTGTGTGTATGGCATGCAGGTGAGATGACAACCTGCAAGGGTTAGTTTGGTTTTTTAATCCCATGTGGGGCTGGGATTAAACTCAGGTCATCAGGCCTGGTGGCAAGCACCTTTACCTGCTATGTCATATCTCCTGCCCCAGTATTACTCTTTTTTGGTGATAACAACATGTTCTGGGGCTCGGTGTGGTACACATGGCAGGTGGATCTCTGTGAATTCAAGGCCAGCCTGATCTTCATAGTGGGTTCCAGGACAGCCAGAGAGACCCTGTCTCAAAAACACAAAAACAAAGCAAATAAAATTCCTGAAAAGAGATGTGCATATCAAACAAAGGAAACAAAATCAATTTGTAACATGTTTCATTTGCTAATTATGGGTCTTGTAAATACTTTTGAAATAGATTAGTGAATATAAAACAAATAACTAGAGTAATTGGCACATACCGGTAATCTCAGCACTCAAGGAGGCTGAGGCAGGAGGAATGTGCATTGAAGGCTAGCTAGCCTAAAATATATTGTGAGACCCTGTCTCACAAAAATAAAAACTAAAAAAGCAAATAACCAGCAGAAGCATTTGTATATAAATTCAGCCATACTTTTTTTGGTTTTTTGTTGTTTTGTTTTTGTTTTTTGATAAGGTTTGTTTGTTTGTTTGTTTGTTTGTTTTGTGAGCTGGTCCCGTCTTCATTTCCCACTTTTTGCATGTATGGTTTCATTATAAATAATAAATAAATAAGATACTTCCCAATTTGATGGGAATTGTTTTCAAGAAGAGAAAAAAATATTTTTTCTTGCCATTTCTTTACTGCATAAGTAAAATTAAAGTTGAGTCTCAGTACTTAACAAAATTAAAGAACTATGGAAATAGTATTTTGTTAAAACACTGTGCAGAATCTTATTTATTTATTTATTATTTAGGTCTTTTGAGACAGTGTTTCTCTGAGTACCCTTGCCTGTCCTGGAACTCTCTCTGATACCAGGCTGGCCTCACATTCACAGAGAGCTGCCTGCCCCTGACTCCTGAGTGTTGGGATTAGAGGTGTGTGTTACCATTGCCTGGTTTTTTTCTGGGGGAGGGATGTCATTATTTTAATAAAAGGATATGTTTTCTGAATGAATGTTCTGTCTTTATCTCTCCTGTTATTTTAAGTAAGGCAAAGATGAAGTGGGCAGATGTTGGTACCCTCCACTGAAAACTTGTGCTTGCAGCTGGTTGTCTAGCAGTTGCCAGGTTTCTAAATACTAGCACAGTTCTGTGTCCTGTATCAGGTCAACATGAGGGGTTCCCAAGTGTTAAAGATGCATGAGTAACACCAATATTGCAATAAAAATGTAAGACATTTTGGAATTGCTTTTAAAAAGTATTAGATACAATGTATCAACGGCATACTTAATCTGTTCTGTTGTATCTTCTTACAGTTAGATAAAAGTCTTGGCCTGTGTTTTAAACAGTGTAGCTGGCATTTGATTAACATGTTGACCAGCTCTTGTTCAGTGAAGTTATTTGCTGTGATTTCACAGGTGTCTCACAATTCCCATAAGTATCCCCCATCCAAATAAAGAGTAGTTGTCGATAAAATAGAAACAGGTTATTTCCCATGTTATGAATCTGTCTCCACTCACGAAATCTCTACCA